TTGTCCTTCTTTTGGCAGAGTAATACTCCATTGTATATAAATATATTTTCTTTATCCATTCACATGTTGATAGGCATATGGGCTTTTCCCAAGATTTGACTGTTATTAATTGTGCTACTATAAACATGGATATGCATATATCACTGTGATATGATGTTTTTAACTCAGAAAGATGCTTAGAAAAAGAATAGTTGGGTCAAATGGAATCTCTAGCTTTAGTTTTTTGAGGAATCTCCATATGGATTTCCATAACGGCTGTACCAGTTTATACTCTCACCAACAATGGAGCAGGGTTCCTTTTCCCCCCACTGTCTCACCAGCATTTGTTTTTGGTTGGTCTCTTGATGATGGTTATTCTTTCTGGAGTGAGATGGAATGTTAGTTTTGTTTTAATTTTCCAGCTCCTCTTTGACAGAAAATTAATATATAGAATATATAAAGAATTTTAAAACTTAACACTAAAAAAGATCATGTAGTACAATGAGACACCAAAAGAATTACATATGGCCAATAATTATGCAGAAAAATGTTCAACATCTTACTCTTTTTGTGTGTGTGATACTGGGGACTGAACACAGGGCCTCTGTCCTGAGCTACATCCCCAGTCCTTTAAATTATAATATGATTATTTTATTTTATTTATTTTTTATTTTGAGATAAGGTCTCACTAAAATACTAAGTTCTCCAGTTTGGGCTTAAATTTGTGATCATCTGCCTCAGCCTCCCAGAGTGCTGGGATTACAGGCTTGTATCACTATACCTGCCAACATCTTTAGCCATTAAGGAAATGCAAATAAAAATGATACTGTAATTCTATCTCACTCCAGTCAGAAAGGTATCATCAAGAATACAAAAAACAAATGATGATGAGAATGCAGTGTGTGTGGGCGCCTTCTACAGTTCTGGTGGGAATGTAAATTAGTGTAACCACTGTGTAAGTCAGTATGGAGGCTCCTCAAAAAACTAAAAATAGAGCTGTCATATAACCCAGCTATACTGCTCCTTGGTGTATATATGAAGGAATTAAAGTTAGCATACTATACGGATACCTGCATGCCCATGTTTACTGCAGCATGATACACAATAGCCAACATATGGACTAACATAGGTGCCTATCACAGAATAATGGATAAAAAAGATGTGGTATATACACATAATGGAGTATTCTGTTGTAAAGAAGAATGAAATTACTCCATTTTCTCTAATGTAAGACCTACCCAGAAAACAAGTTCTGGCATAATTTTAGAAGATACATCCCATGAAAATGAGCTCTACTGCACGGTAATAAAATTATGCTAGAACTTATTTTCTAGGTAGCTCTTATTTTCAGGGAAACTTGGTATGTCAGAAGGAGATGATCATGCCAGAAAAAATAAGCCAGACTCATAAAGGTAAATATCTTATGTTTTCCCTAATTTGTGTAATCTTAAAAATAATTAAAGTAAAAGGGAGATTATTACTGGGCAAGAGGGGGAATAAGGGGCAGAGGGAGGGAGATACAAGGGATGGCAGCAGGGGGATGGGGAAAAAGAATTATGAATATATCATCAAGGGAGCATGATGCTGATATAAGTTTACTGAGGTGAAAATGTATCCACTAAATGAAACAGCAGGTTAGAAAGTAACATATATAGCATTGCCAATTTTTTATGTTAACAATGCATCAATATATAGAGATCCATCAAATCATCTAGAATAATAATGTTAACTGTTTTATCTATCTGTGGGAGTGAGATATTGAGCACATTTTTCATACTGTTTAAGAGTATTTTTTGACTTGTACTATTATTAAATGTTTCCAGGTGAGGAAATTAAGAATTGCTATAAGTATGTGAGATGATGAATATGTCAATTAGCTTGATTATAGTAATCATTTCACAGTGTCTATGTATCTCAAAACATGATGGTGTGTATGACAAATATGTATAATAAAAAGTAAAGAGAGGTCCAAAAAGGAAATAAGATAACTAGAAGGCTCTGTCGTGCTTTCTTACTTTGTTTAGAAAATATACTTGTGAATATATCTGAAATGTATATTTATTTATGTAATATATTAGCACAGTATCTACATCATAATTATATAATTTTGTGGCGTAATATAATTAAAACATATTTATATATTACAAACTATAATGTATGCTATGGCATACATTATCTATTTATGTGAAAATATATTTTAAGTACATTTACTTCTCTCTACCACACCCGCAACCCTGTAGGCCTGAAGTTCTTCCTCCAAGGAAGTTATGCCCTCTCACGCCCAATCTGTGTGTGTAAGTGTTTGAGTGGGTTATATAATGGAATAGGAGGTTGCTCCTACTTAAGTAAAAGAGATTCACCAATAAGTCTCTATAATTTATATGTCAATATTTCTTACTAGATTATATGTACCCTCCCAGGAAAGAAATGACAGGTTGTTTATCTATATCTCTAAGAATATTGTAAGTTACTTTAAACTTTGCGTTTTAGTGAGTCAACACTGGTACCTACCATAATACTGGTATGTGGATCAAATAAATAAAATAAAGATTGCTATTAATGTGATACATGTTTAAAGGTTAGGGAACTAATCAAAATATTGAGTAGACAGATAGCAGGGAATGTTCCAACTACTTGATTAGTTAGAAAGATATTGTAGGGATCTACAGTAGTACGTTATAGTTTTCAAATATGTCAGAAAGTCATTTGGTATTTTAGTAAATGTTTTGTTTAGCAAGGTGCTATTCACTGAATTGTCCCCACCGCTCCAATGTGCTGGTTCCCTAGCCTCCAGTTTTTGTGAATGTGACTTTGCTTGGAAATAAGGTCTTTACAGAAGTTATCAAGTTGAAATGAGATCATAGGGTAGACCATGCCGATGTATTATTACTGTCCTCATAAAACAGAGAAATTTAGACAGAGACCTATACATGTGTAGGGACAATGTCATAGGTAATGTACCTACAAGCCAAGGAACATCAAAGATTGCCAGAAAACCACCAGAAGCTAGGGGAGAAGAAAAAATAGATTCTCGTTCACAGAAGGAACCAATCCTCTACTGTGAAATAACAAAGTTCTTTTGTTCTTTTTCTTTTTCTTTTTCCTTTTTTTGAGAGAGGGTTTTGCTATGCAGTTAAGTTCAGGTTGGCCTTGAATTCCCAGTGTCCCTCCTGAATCTGCCTGCTGAGTGCTAGGATTACAGGTATGTGCCATCATGTCCCCCTCCAAAGTTCTTCTGTTCTAAGCCACCCAAACTTTGGTATTTTGTTTTGTGAGTAGTTAGGAACTGATAAAGAACAAAAACTAAAATATGGATGAATGGTTCTCTTTGTTATTTTCCAGAATGGAAAAGTTAGGGGAAGGAAGAGCTGAATGCCACCATTATGTGTAAATAAGGAGGAATGATAGGAATTTTACAGGAAACTTGGAACCTAATTTTGCCAGAGTTGTAAAAACCTATGTTTGAAACCAGTAATTCCCTCCTCTGCACTTCAAATGAGCCCAGTAGCTCCATCTCCAGTTAAAAATTAATTGAAAAGTGCACACACAGCCAATGTAATGAACTTGTTTGGAAGGTAATGGAAGAAAGGCTTGGTTGCTTCTCTAGTTGAAAAAATATACCTTAATCTTAAGAGAGAGAGGTCAAAGATCGTTCCACTTGTACAACTTTGCACACTACATTATATTTAATTAATGTTTCATAAATATGCTTTGAGAAGAGCATGTTTCTATTTCTCTGGGACTTGCAATTTTGTATAGTTTGAAGTAAACTTTCAGCTGCCCTAAATTTTTGGTTATGAGATACATATGAATACATGGAATACATGTCTAAGTTTTGAAATGTAAAAACAATTATCTGTGAACTGTTACATGTGAAGAACTAGAACATGTCTAGTACCTCGGGAGCTCCCCATGGATTCCTCTCCCAAACAGGCTCTCATTGAGAACACAGTAATTTTCACAACTACGATTGCTATTGCTGCCACTGTGCTCCTGCACCCTTTGCACCATGCGAAACTACACCCGAGCATGGCCTCTCCAGCTCCCTAGCCCTACAACATTTTATTTTACCAATCATTGGCATTTGGTAACAACACTTAGTATAGAAGGTTCTCAGATTATTTTTGTCTCAGTTATGTTCACAGAATTAGCTTACAGGGGACTTGAAATCTGATTTTGGTGTTCATCTTAATGGAACTGCAGAACCTCTGCTGTATAATAAAATTTTTTTTTATCTTTGTCCCTTGTTTGTGGGTGCTTCTAAACCCTCAGGATTTTCCAAGTATTAGAAATGCCTTTGTTATTCATGGGGAATCCCTGGAACATGCTGAGTTTATGCTAAGGAGATGACTTGGAGTAAACCCCTTATTATTTCAAGATTAGGGGTGCCTATGCCAGAAAGAGCAACCAGCTAGGTTTAGAAAGTTGAGCTAGTGATATCAACTTGAGCTCCTAAACTCCAGAGAGCAGGGGGACTGGCCAGTGATTCAACCAATATCACTTATGTAATGAAATCCCAGGAAAAACTCTGGATATCAAGGCTCAAGTGAGCTTCCTGGCCTATGAACATATCACTATGCAAAGAGGAAAATTCATTATTAGTCTTAGGAACAGGATTCAGAAGCTCTATATTTGTACTCTCTGCCTAGTCCTTGCTCTATGTGTCACTTCATTTGTGCCCTTTATATAATGAAGCTGTAATTCTAAGTAGAGTACCTTCCAGAGTTCTGTGATTCATTCTCTAATTATTGAACCTGAGGCAGTTGGTCAGAAGTGTGAGTGACCTGTGGACCCCTAAACTGGTAGCTGGCATATGAGGGCATTTTGTTGCGTCTGTAGCTTCACCCTCTGGAGCCTGTGCTAACCCTGGGTAGTTCGCATCAGAACTTCATTGCAGTACTGCAGCATCTGGTTGGTGCTTTGTATAGAACAGACACTCATTAAACTAGATAATTGGGTATTTTTTCCTAAATACTCAGATGCCAAAACAAAATTAAACTGTATTTTGATTTGAAACATACCATATCCTTTCTGGGCTTCATCAATGATTGGAAAATGTCCTCTGCCAAGAAATTCATCACCCTGATTGATCAGAGCTTCCTTCACCACATTGTATCCACATAAGACCACAGTGCGCCGGGGTCCAAGGTACAGGGTATAAACAGGCCCATACTCTTTGGCCAGCTGGAAAGAGATGTAAGCACTTGCGTAAGTCATATTGTGAAATCTCTCTGTTGGAGGCTTGGGTGGAAATTAAGTAATAATTTTACATGGGCTTAACCTTCGCTCTATCAGGTCCATTTTAGGAATTTAACCTGTGGCAGTCATAGATCCATTATTTTTCCTTTATTTATACATGCAACCATTCAGCAAATATTTATTAATCATCTATACTATGTCAGGTACAGTGTATAACCTAGAAACCTTTATAAAACTTAAAACCTAATGTAAGTAACAGGAAAGAAGTGGCCAAACAAGCAATTCTATGAAAGTGGTAAAGAATGTACTTATTGGATGATAAGAGGAATAACTTAATAAGTCAGAAAAGGCATCTTGGAAGGGGTAACATTTAAGTTAAAACTAAAGATAAAGAGGAAGTAGCCAGTATAAGGGCTCAGAGGAGAGCTCAGGTATAAACAATATTTTTATGGATGCAGTATTCCAAGAAGAAAAATGGAGTACTAAAATAGCCAACAATTAGGGTTTAGTTCTCAAATTTATTTTACTTCTATATAATTGTATTCAAAGTAGCCATCTGAAATTGGTTATGGAGGGCATGTAATGGTATAGGAACATGTTCAAATTTTAAATAAATTATTTTAAAAATTACACTTAAAATCTATTTGTATGTTAGAAATCCCCAAACAGAAATAACTAGAAGAGAATCTCCATATGCATCTACCTCAGCATCTACTAATTTACCTACCTCTGTGCCCAGGTACACAGTTTTCTGTTAATATGACTCTTGATTCTCTTTTTAAAAAGGGTAGGCACAATTGCCCAACTTTGCACTAGATTCTATTCCTTCCAAGCTATGGTGGTATGGCACATCTCTGTATAGTAAAAGTCTGAAAAAATTGTTTCTACCTGCTCTCTGAAATTTTTCTCCTCCTTTCTTTTTTGAAACCACATCAGTCCAGCTTTTGAGGCCCTTACTCTACTGAAAAATTTTTATGCAAATCTCTGAAAATCCCTCTCCACTTTGCCAAATCTCATTTTATTTTACCAATCATTAGCATTTGACTCAATTAAAATACTCTTTGAATTATATCCTTCTTTTGGATTCCAGGACATTTCCACTCTCCTGAGATGCCTCCTACCTTTGTGACTGCTCACCCTCAGTTCTCTTGGGGACTTCCTCCTTATTTCATTGACCTGTAATCATTGGGTTGTCCCTGGGATTATGACTCAGTCCACCCACACTCCCTGCATGATCCCACTCAGTCTCATGGCTTTAAATCCATCTTGACTCCCAAATTTACACATGTAGTTCAGACTCTTTCTCTATATTGTAGCCTCATGTATCCAACTGCTTATTCATATGTTCATTCAGTAGATTTTGAAATAATGTAGGATTTTGAAATAATATATTTAAAATTGAGATCTTCATATCCTCTTTTGCCTATCTGTCCTACATCAAACAAATAGAAAACCTGCCTCCTCTGATAGTCTATCTCATGTTTTTTATAGTGGCACCGGCTCAGCCAAAGACTTAGGGACAATTCTTGATACTTTTTATCCTATACCCCATATCCAACTCATCAACAAACTCTTAAATCTACCTTCTAATTTAGTATATCTAGAATCTAACCACTTTTACCTGCCTTAGTTCTTATACTGGTCCATGTCATCATTATCTCTGCTGGATTATTGTACAGGTGGGCTGTTTCCATCTTAGCACCTTTATGATCTACTCTGCACTAGGTCTCCAGAGTCATGCGGTGAAAATAGAAATCCTATTATGTCACTTCAACTGAAAACTCTTCAATGATTTTTCCATCACCTTTAGAATACAAGTTATAGTTCTTACAATATCCAGAAAGTACTATGAGATTAGACCTTTTTTACTTTAACATTATGCCCTACTTCGTCCCCTTCTCAGAACTCTTCTTTTATCTGAACTGATCTTGTTATTCCTTGAGTATACCAGACACCTCTGCCACAGAACTTTGGACCTTGTTCCCTCTTCATGGTATAACTTTTTCTTTTGTATTAACCTTATGGCTTACCCTGTTTTCTTGAAGTCTACTCTTAAATATTACCTTTTTGATGAAGCTTTCCTTGGATACCCTATTTAAAATTGAACTTGAAATAAATAAAAAATAACAATGTCCAAGCTCCTTCTATGCCAAGCCACAAACCAGAAGTCATGAGATTTACATTTTAAAATGAGGGGAAAAGTCAAGCTGAACTCTGAGAATAATCACAGACCATTCTTACATGCTGGAGCCCTCCACCTAAGCTCAGGGACAATGGCCACTCTGCTCAGATGCAACACAGATGCCCCATTACTGTAGCCACATACTCAGCCATTTTCCCTCTCCCAATATGAACCCCCCTCCTTGGTGTCATCCCACCTAAGCCAATCTGACTAACCTCCTACTCTATCCATAAAAGATGCAGCTCAGTTAACTCCACTTGGACTCCCCTTAGGAGTTACTCCAAGAGGTCCCACCAGAACCCCTGAATTGAGGTTGGTTGTGTTCTTTATTGGGTTGTCACTGTTTACTTAACATCTTACCAATGACATGATTGTCCATATAGAAAATCAGAAGTAATAAGTAATTATGGCAAGATTGGAAGATATAAAGTTAATATGCAAAAGTTAATCACTTTCCTATGTGCCAACAATGAATAGTGGATTTGAAATTAAAAGCAATACAACAGTGCCTCCAAAATGACACACAGGAATAAAAATAAAATATGTACAGACCTGGACAAGGAAAACTCTGAAAAAAAAATCAAAGAAAAGCTAAACACATTGAGAAATATTCTATGTTCATAAGAAGACATATTTTCAAGCATCAGTTCTACTCAAGTTGCTCTATAAATTCAAAATAATCCTAGTAAGAATCCTAGCAAGCTATTTTATAAATATTGAGCAATTGATTTTAAAAGTTTATATGGACAAACAAAAGATCCTGAATAGTGAACATAATATTGAAGGAGAACAAAGCTGGAGGGCTAATACTACCTTACTTCAACTTCCTAAGAAGGTACAAGAGAGTTTCAGGCCTCTTCTCCCATGGAAGTAGAGGGCCTTTTCTCCTTCGTTATGTGTGGAGACCAAAATCAGCCTTTGAGAATCATTGCTGGGACTGCCACAGATGGGCAGCTTTGTCTTCCTAACTCAAGACATTTGTAGGAAAAAAAGTGGTACTGGCAGGAGAATAGAGAGATAAATACAACAAAACCCCCAAACAGACACACATAAATATACTTAATTAATATTTGACAAAGGAGCAGAAGAAATACAATGGAGAAAGTTTTTTCAATAAATGATAGTAGAACAACTAGACGTCCACATATCCCAACCCCTAAAATCTACACACTAACTTCATATAACCTTCAAAAGTATTAGCTCAAAATGGATCATAGACTTAATTGCAAAATGTGAACTTTACATTTAAAATATTTACATTTGATAATTATTTAATGAGTCCATTCTTCAGGACAAAGTATATTTTAGAGTCTGGGAATAGTGCAATGAACAAGAGAGGGAAAAAAGCTCTGTCCTTTCAAAGAACAGGGTAGTCAGATAAAAACCAAAACATATCATTAATATATACATATATACTATGTCATTTAGTATTATAAATGCTATGGGAAAAATAATGAAAGGAAAGGCAAAAGAAAGACATTTTCTAAAAAGGCTTTACTTTTTAGAGCATTTATTTTCACAGCAAAATTGAGCAGAAAATACCAAAAATTGTCACATAACCTTTACCCCCACTCACGTATAGTACATCCCACCACAGTGGAGTATTTGTTACAATTACACTTTATATTTAAAAACTCCTAGAAATGACAAATAGTGCTGCTATAAACGTGGGTGCACATCTATCGCTGTGGTATGATGTTTTCAGTTCTTCTCAAAAAATACCCAGAAGGGGAACAGCTGGGTTGAAAGAGACCTGTAATCCTAGTTTTTTTTAGGAATCTCCACACTGATTTCCATAGTAGGTGTACCAGTCTGAACTCCCACCAACAGTGGAGAAGGGTTCCTTTTTCACCACAGCTCTTCTGGCGTTTGTTCTTGGTTGACTTCTTGATGATAACCATTCTTTCTGGGTTGAGACGAAATCTCAGTGTTATTTTAATTTGCATTTCTCTAATGACAAGTGACGTTGAACATTTTTCCATGTATTTATTTTCCATTTGTATTTCTTCATCTGAGAAGTATGTATTCATCTTAGATGCCCATTTTTGGATTGGGTCTTTGAATTTGAGGGCCTGACTAAAAAAAAAATTATGTGTTCTAGATAGAAGTCCTTTGTTTGAGGGACAGTTGGTTAAAATTTTTTCCCAATTTGTGGATTTTCTTTTCACTCAGTTGGTGATTTCTTTTGATGTACAAAAACTTTTCAGTAAGATGAGATCCCAGTTTTTGATTCTTTGAAGCATTTCCCGTGCAGCTTGGGTTTTGTTCATGACCTCTCTGCCTACCCCTATGTCTTCAAGATTTCTACCTACTTTCTCCTCCAGTAGATTTAGGATAAAAAAAGATGTGGTATTTTTATACAATGGAGAATTACTCATTTATAAAAAAAAGATAAATTGGAGGCTTTTTTAGGTAAATGGATGCAACTAAAGACTACACTCATAAGTGAAATAAATCAGACCCACATGTATAAATATTGTATTGTTTCCCTAGTGTAAGAACTTAAAAGAGTAAATAAAATCCAAAAGGTACAATAGATACTGTGAAAGAGAAAGAAACTGCTCAAAGGAAAGGAACAACTGGGATGAGGGAAAGGAGAAAAGGAAGAAAGGGAGGGAAAAAAATATATGTATATACACAAGATAGCTGGGATAATTATACTGCTGATTTCTACTGGCCTATTGAAAGGAACAGTTAATGATTAAATTTTTTTCTTTTTAATTTTTTTTGACCAATTTTGTATGCTTATGTCTGGTAATCTGAACAATTAATCTGAAGACAACAATATGCAATATAACAACCATTGTTGAATTCCTATCATCTTGTTTAGTGAAATTCTGTATCATTTCTAATGTTTTTTTCATTATTTTTCATTTTCTCTTTTAAAAATCTCCTAGAAAATAATGGGAAAAATCTAGGTGCCCCTCTATATGGCATAACTTTTTAGAAATATCAAAGGCTTAAGCCATGAAAAAAAGCTAAATTCCATTAAAATTTAAAAATTGTTAAGTCAGGTGTGGTGTTGCACACTTATAATCTCAGCACTTGGGAGGCTGAGGCAGGATGATCATCATGAATCTGAGGCCAGCCTGAACTATACAGAGAAACTCTGTCTGAAAAAAACAAAACAAAAATTCTGCTGTGTAAAAGCTGGGCATGGCGGCACATGGCTGTAATCCCAGCACTCAGGACGGAGGCTGAGGCAGGAGGATTGCTGAGATCTCAAGGCCAACCTGGGCTAAACAGTATGTTCAAGGCCACCCTGAACTACTTAGACAGATTCTGTCTCAAAAAAACCAAAAAATAAATAAATAAAATAAATAAACAAGCACTGTCAAGATAATAAAAGGACAAGTCATGAGCTTGGAGAAAATATTTGTGAAAAACATATTTGACAAAGGACTATCATTCAAAATATGTTAAAAACTCTTAAAACTCAATGAGAAAACAAACAGCCTGGTTAAAAACTGAGCCAAAGACCTAAAGAGACATCTTACCAAAACAAATAGATAGATGGTAGGTAAACTCGAAAATGTTCTGTATTTCACTTATCATTAGGGAGTTAATGATACTTAAAACACCAAAATACAGCTTTATATCTGTAAGAATGTTTACACTGGTGAGGATGTAGAGCAACAGAAACTCATTCACTTCTGGTAGGAATGCAAGAAACAGTAGTCACTTTTGAAGACAGCTCATCAGTTTCTTACAAAACTAAGCATACTCTAACCATACAATCCAGCAACTGCCCTTGGTATCCCAAAAGAGTTAACCTATGTCCTCACAAAAACCTGGACATGGATGTATACTTGCCAAAGCCTGGAAGCAACCAAAATGTCCTTCAGTAGGTGAAAGGCATGAATTACTACCTTCAAACAATGGAATAGTATTGAGTGCCAAAAAGAAATTATCTGCCAAATCATAAAAGATATAGAGGAAACCTAAATACTTATTAAGTAAAAGAAGTCAGTCTGAAAAAGTTACAGAGTACATGACATTCCAGAGAAAGGTAAAACTATGGGGACAAAAAGACCAGTGATTGCTAAAGGTTGGAGTAAAGGGAGTGATGAGTGGGCAAAGTACAGAGGATTTTAGGAGTTGTGAAATGATTCTGGTTATTTTAATGATGAACACATGTCATTTTTTTTTTTTTGGTTTGGTTTTTCTCCGGTACCGGGAACTGAACTCACGACCTTGCGCTTGCCAGGCAGACGCTTTTGCCGCTGAGCTAAATCCCCAGCCCCAACACATGTCATTATATGCTTGTCCAAATCCATAGTATGTATCCCACCAAAAAGTACTCTAATGCAAACTACAGAATCAGGTGACAACGATGAACTAAGGTGACAACGATGTGTCAATGTAGGTGCATCAACTGTAACAAATACCCCACTCTGGTGAGATGTCCTATGCATGCATGGGGCTAAGGGTTATATGACAATTCTCTGTATTTTCTGCTTAATTTTGTTGTGAAAATAAATTCTGTAAAAAGTAAAGTTTTTTTTAGAAAATGCTCTTCTTTTGCTTTTTCTTTATTTTTCCCATAGCAGTTACAATACTAAGGTATCACACAGTATGTATGTGTCTATTACTGATTTGTTTTGGTTTTTATCTGACTACCCTGCTCTTTGAAGGGCTAGGCTTTTTCCCTCTTTTGTTCACTGCAATATTCCCAGACTCTAAAATATATTTTTTCCTGAAGAATTGACTCATTAAATATTTATCAAATAAATTATTTAATGCTAAGCCTTATAATCAAAGAAATTTCCTGTACGGTTTCTTCATCCTAAAGGATGTTTTTGCACACTAAACTCCTGAAGACAATATTTTTTTCCTCAAACAGTACATCCAAAAGTGTGAACCTAGCTGGGGTAGCAGAATTGGGCTTCATTACCTAGGGCAGGGTGTTGAGGAGGAGAGTGGGGATCACTCTTCACAAGAAACATCACAAAACCTCCCATAAATAATTTAGTGAGGAATAATAGTAACAATACATGGAAGATTTATCACATTTTAAATTTGCTGAGCTTGCTTTTTGGTGTTACAAGCTGGAGAGATTGGAAGTCTTTCAATTAAAATATATTCTGATTCCAAAATTTTCTCATTCAGTAGAATTCAACTATCTCAAGTCAAGTCTATGCCTCTCACTACCTGCTCTAACACTATCCAATCTGGAAAGGAAGAGGATTATATGTACTTTGGTAATGCAAAAATAAACATCCCAAAGTGCTTGCGTGGTGAGTGGAACTGAGAAAGATTTATTTCAAGACAACCAGCCCAGTGGTCTAGGTGGAGATGAACAGCCTCAAAATCAGAGCCCCTTACCTTGGAAAGAGATGCAGGAACATCCTTGAGGTTCAGCTGCAGCATGTTTCCAATGACAGGAAGTGGAGCTGGGCCCGGGGGGAGCCTTACTGCTTTGTGACTTTTTGTCCACACAAAAAGGAGAATCAAGCAAGAGACAGAAATGACAAGAGCAAGAGTAGTGACTCCCAGAAGCTCCATTTCAGGATCTGGATATTAGCAACTACTGCAGTTGCTGGCAGGAAAGCAAAGCTTGTGTAAAAGTGTGCTCTGCTGGAGGAAGGTGGGTCTGAATTTTGGACTTAGAATAAAACTGGCATGGGTTTGTTTACACTGCTACCTGAGATCAAGAAGTGTGTCCTCTTACTCAGAAAATCTGCAACTCTATCTGGTTGATTTTTTAAGCATCTCTATTGCATGTATTTCTTAGTCTAGATGATTCATTACATAAAAAGCTACATTTTATTTTTTATAGCTTTTTAAAACTTCAAGCTTTTAAAACTTAGTTCAACTCACAAATTTAAAACCAATAGATCATATGCTCTGAGATCTAATTGGAAAAGCAGTTGTTAGAGCTGTTCTCCTCTGACATTATTTTCATCATGTTTCTCATCAATTAAAAATCTCCATGTCCATCAACAGATGAATGAATAGGCAAGACGTAGTATATACATACAAAAAATGTAGGGGCCAGGGAGATAGCTCAGTGGCACAGTGCCTGCCTGGCAAACATAAGGTCCTGAGTTCGATTCCTGGTACCAAAAAAAAAGTTATTCACTTTAAGAAGGGGTGAAATTTTAATATGTGCTCTGATATGCTGGAACTAGAAGATACAATGTTCACTGAAATAAATCCCCACAAAGAACAAATGTTGTGTAATCCAGCTTGTATGAGGTATTTCAAATGGGCAGATTAGAACACACAAAAAGTAAAATAGGTTACTAATAGGTGAGGGAGGACAGAGTGAGGAGTTACTGTTTAATAGGTATTCCTGCTTGGGATGTTAGAACAATTCTGGAAATGAATAACGACGATAGTTATATAAAATTGTGAATGTACTTAATGCCCCTGAATGGTGCACTTTAAACATCGTTAAAATGGTAAATTGTATGTTGCGTATATCTTACCATGATAAAGAAAAATGTTACTATTTATTTATTTATTTAGAGACAGGGACTCACTATGTAGCCTGGGCTGGCCTTGAACTCACAATGATCCTCCTGCCTCAGCCTCCCAAGTGCTGGGATTACAGTCATGCACCACTGTGCCTAGCTAAGAAAATATTTACTAAGTTGGTACTATAGTTGGAAAATGTAATCCAAATTTATTTGCCTTTAAAATAACCTATCTGTAAGTAGCAATGGCTGCTGTGCTGGGTGGATTGCCTGGTCTTGCGTTTAGCTTGTGGTGGTTGTTGGCAATTATGCTTCAAGTGTGACAGGGTTCAACCCATTTAAATTGAATATCTGAGAGGTGAACACTGGAAAATGAAGCCATGAACACATCACTGGAAAACAGATTCTAGCTGAAAAGATCCTCATATCAACTACAAATTCTCCTCATTCTAGTTTACCTCAACCCTCTCAACACACATATACAGACACAAAGGAACATGAAAAAACAAAGCAACAAAAGACCCTCAAAGTCTCCTAACTCTCCCAAAGCAGACCCAAGGGGTACTGATGGAGAAGAAAGCAAACTGCAGGTAGCAGAGCTGTATGAAATGATTAAAAGAGCCAGAGAAACTTGACAGGTTGCTTTTTTTTTTTAAAGATACTGTACAGAATATGAAAATTATTTTTAAAAACATTACATTTTTTAAAATTAGGCTACACAGACACATTAATATAATAGTACATTCTGCAAAAATACTGTAGGTTCCATAATATTCATAAATGCAAGAAACAGTTTTATTTTCTAAAAATTAGACAACAGACTTCTTTAGACAGGCTTCAAGATGGAGGCTGAAAATGCTTGGTGACAAGAAGAAATTCTACAGCCCGACACCACTGCACTAATGCCGCACACTGACCACTGCCACAGAGTCACAAAGTACTCTTCATGTGCAGTGTCAAAACAGCTTCACTTCCAGTCTTTTCAGATGTGTCCTGGTGGTGTAAGAAAGAAAAGTTGAAGGATACACAAAACTATTAAAAGTTACAGCAGAACCATTTAAATGTTTTCTCTAAAACTGAGAAAAGCAATCATGTTAAAAATTTTTAAAAAAGAAAAAGTCCAACAAAACTCTCAAACAAATCAGAGGGTCCTTCAAGTAAGGTGTATAGATTTCAACAAATTATCTTGAAACCATGACAGAGAGCTCATTTTCAAAATCGCCATGGAGGTCCACCCTTAAATGGCTTAAATCCAGAGCCACTTCCTCTTGCCATGGAATTGCTGCCCATCTGGACAATTTTGTTAATGAGAGATGCATTACTTGAGCACTGGGTCATCATGCCTGTGCTTGCCTGAGTTTTGCCCATTCACCTTGTATCATCTTGTATTATGGTAGCCAGGCTCTTGAGAAGGTGGACCGTGCTACTCTTTCCTTGGTCTACTTGTTGTCCTGTCCACAGCAATCAACCATGTCATTCTTTAGGGCAGTGCTGGGCTCCACTTCCCCTGTCTGAGATGATGTCTCTGTCATCCTCTCTGCAACCATACCCTAAAGCATTACTGCAACTCCCCAGGGGAGTGCCTCTCACGCTGTGTCCTGATAAGTCTCTCCCAGAGCACTTCGGCCTTTCAACCCTTGCTTCCAGCTTGTCAGCAGACAGGTTTCCTTCACTTTTCCAGGAGGTTTCTTCTGAAGAAAGAGTTTTAGATATGTACCTTTGATATAGGAGATAGGGCATGGCAAACTGGCTAGAGAAGTGGAAGAGACCTGTAAGTTTCAAGATTGTCGGTCAGAGTCAAACACCATATGTAGAACTTCTTGATGAGAAGGCTCCCATAAGATGTGGATGGCATAAAGGAGATGAGATGCCCTGAGGACCCCATTAATTGTGACTCTTCTGGATAGCCCATCCTGCGTCTTCTAGACACATGGTGCACTTTTATTTTGATTTTATTCTTTCTTTATCCCTTCACCTTTCACCTTTGAAGTAAACTTTTGGTTCCGATTTTGGCTTGTCTCATCCAATTCTTTGTTTAAAATAAAAAGGACCCGGAACACCTTTGATTGGCAAGCCATTTGAAAAGGAACTACCTGACAACATTTTGGCAAAGCCAGCCAGGAGGTAACACCAGCATGAAGGTTTCTCATTCCATTAATTCACAAGCTCTCTTGTTCTCTTCAGCAGAAAGTAACTCCTTGGAATGTACATTTTCTTCTTCATTTTCACCAATTTTTTCAGAATTCTTTATTTTGTTACTGTCACCTTGTTCAAGTGCCTCTTGATTCTCCAATTCACAGTCCTTGACAAAAGCATTATCTTCCACAGACTCCACTCAACTTACCTGCTTCTTGTTTGTTTTTCCCTTTCTTTTCTCTTTTTTTTTTTGTTTTTTGAGACAAGGTCTCACTAGGTAGTTTAGGCTGGCATTGAACTCACTATGTAGCCTAGTTGGCTCAAACTTGCAGTGATCCTCCTACTTCAGCCTCCCCCATACTGGGATTACAGGTGTGTGCCACCATGCCTGGCTTACTTCCTGTTTTTTACCTTTGCCTTTGGTTTGAAGTATCAGTTGAAACAGATAATTCAATATTATCTGAATTGCCTTTTTCCTCTTCAATATCCTGCTTGAGTCTGGAGACCAGCACTGTCTTGACTCTGTTGATGTCCAGGTTCTGCCACTTCAGCTCCGACGAGGTTGATGACCCACCAGTTAGTAATCTTCTTGGCTTCAGCTGGAACTGCAGCTGTCACAGAAGTAGCATCGGTGGCCATCTTGGGAAAGCACTGCACTGCTAAGGCAGCAAGCAAGCTGTGGGCTGTGGCAGCAGTGACAGCACCAACTTTAGGCCTTGGTCACTGTGTGCCTTGAGGAGTTCAAAGAGGATCTGACCCAAAAGATGATGGAATGAACATATAAACTAACCAATGTGGATATGGAATGAACTAATAAAAAATTGGAAGAGCAGATCAAAATGGTTCAAAACATGAATGACAAACTTACCAAAGACACAGATTCCATGAAAAGGCGCCAGGCAGAAATACCAAAGATAAAAAATTGTATAGAGTTAATAAGCTGCAGAAATGACCAATGTGAAGACAGGGTTTCTGAAATTGAGAACAAAATGGTGAATCACTATAAACTACTCAGAGAAGCTTTAAAAAAGATGAGAGAACAAGAAAAATTCACTCAAAAGCTACTAGATGATGCTAACAAGATTAACCTAAGGATAACTGGAGTTAGAGAGAAATTAGAAGATAGCACACATGGAATAAGAAACTATATACAGAAATCATAATAAAAACTTTCTAAGTATGAAGAAAGATTTCAACATACAGTAATAAAAACCTACAGAATACCAACTAACTAGGAAAAAAAAGAAGCTTCTTATGATACATCTTAATCAAAATCTCAGATATTCATTAAAAATACAGTATTAAAAGCTGTCAAAAAAAAGCAAAAAATCATGTATAAAGGTAAACCCACTAAGACTATAACAGACATCTCAACACAAACTTTAAAGGCCAGGAGAGTGAAAAGTTTTAAGCCCCAAAAGCAAACTTCCAGCCTAGACTAATATTTCCTATAAAACTATCTTTCAAAATTGATTGACAAATAAGGACCTTCCATGACAAAGAATATCTTAAGAGATACAGGAACACAAGACCAGCACTCTAAAAAAATTCTCAAGAATATACTAGAGATTACAGTCTGAGTCTCTGTCCTCCATGCACCTGCGGCAGACAGGAGGTCCCCACTCAGTAGGTCTGCGAACTGCTCTCACCGGGGTTTGCATGTGGGCCCTCCCTATGCGTGCCCTGGGCCAAGACAGTAGGCACCCCACGAGCTGCTGGTACCATGGTTTGAGTCTGTGCTTTACTTGTGCCCCTACCCCTGGGGGTTCACAGGCATGGGCAGTCTGTGACTGCTGTTTGAGTGGCCCAGGTCTGGCTCCTGGGCATGTTCTGAACTGACTAAAGAAGCAGAACCAGGTGGGCTGCAACCCGCTGCCACCATGGTTCCCAGCTGAAAGCCATGGAGAAAGCCAGGTATTTCCCATCTACTTCCTGGAGGCAGAGTGGGTGACTCTAGACCCTGCCGCCATTACAGTCTGAGTCTCTGCCCTCCATGCACCTCTGGCAGACAGGAGCTCCTCCTTCAGAAGGCCCGCGAA